TATGCCTGTCAGCTTGCCGCACACCTTGGTCATTTTCCTGCTCCAGTCTCCCTTAATTGCCAGCACTATTTTGTGCTTAATTTTCAATTTAAACCACCAATACACCCGACCCTGTTTTCCCGAAGCGACACACCCCCTGTGCGCCATAATTTCCCGAGCCTAAAAGGCAAAGGTACCCATAAATTTGTGTTTGGTGCCGGTGGCACTTCGTACTGGATTTCTGACTGACCTTTCTTCAAAAGGCGGATGTTTTCGATGACTGCTTCGCTTTCATACGGTGGCGCTATGTTCACCGTATGGAAGTTGATTTTATTTATTTATTCATTTTCCTTTTGTTTCTTTTATTTTCCTTTTTCACGTTCTAGCTGTTTGTTCCTGGGCTCGGCCTGGCCTTTTTTCCAAAGGCGGATATTTTCGATGACTGCTTCGCTTTCATACGGTGGCACTATGTTCACCGTATGGAAGTTGATTTGATTTATTTATTCATTTTCCTTTTGTTTTTTTGTTTTCCTTTTTCACGTTCTAGCTGTTTGTTCCTGGGCTGGACTAATCGGATGCTTACCAAGCCGCCTCCCACCAGGCTTTCTCCGGGATGATGCGTGGCAGCACACCGTCACGTGGCAGCGCCACGGCAAACCGCTCTCTCCCTCCCTCTCTCTCTCTCTCTCTCTCTCTCTCTCTCTCTCTCTCTCTCTCTCTCTCTCTCTCTCTCTCTNCTCTCTCTCTCTCTCTCTCCTGGGGCCCCCTTTTCTAATCCGACGTCCAACCAACCAAATGCGCACCCTTCCTTCGACCACTTCAACTGCGCGCAAAAACATGGGCAGACGCTTTCAATGCGTGATAATAATGCGCGCCCTTCAGGGCAAAAAAAAAACAAAAACAAAAGCAAAAAACGGTTGGATGACTTGTGCATGCACAGCAGAGAGGTCACGAAAGAAAGGCAGGGCAGCGAGAGAGAGAGAGACCGAGAGACAGACAGAGAGAGAGCAAAACTGAAAAATCCCGTTGATCAATTGATCAATAAATCAATCCTTCAATCAATCCATCAACAAACATGTGTCATTTATTGATTTATTGATTGACTGATCGATTGGTTGGTTGATAATTTACAGAAAACATGATAATTTACAAAAAACAGAAAAAAATGAGGGGAAAAAAAACACTACGTAGATACGTCGAGATGGGGGGTTGCAGAATGTCAAACTTTTCGTAACCCTCCTCCCCCTTCTTGTTCGATGTCTTTTTTTGTTTTTCTTTTTGTGCTTTCGCTCATAGAAATATGCTGGAATGTAAAATGCACATGTTGTAGGTGTAGGAAATCCAGGGAAAAAACGGGGGAAAAAAAAAAACACCACCCGAAACAGATCAGCCGGGTCCCAAAGTCAAGCCGCTGATCGGGACGAACGTCCAACGAAACAGTAAGCCGCTTTCATTATCCTTTTGTTTTTCTTTTTGGTTTTTTCGGATTGTGTATAGCGATTGTGACGGGCCGCGCACACACACACACACACACACAGATTCGAGCGGAGCAATCGCGCATTCTGGAATGCTTTTCTTTGTGGAGTCGTGTGTAGCGAATATGACAACACACACACACACACACACACACACACACACACACACACACACACACACACACACACACAGATTTGAACGGAGCAATCACACACGCGGCATGCTTTTATTCGCGGAGTCGTGTGTAGCGAATATGACAACACACACACACACACACACACACACACACACACACACACACACACACACACACACAGAGGCGTGAGCGCGCGCGCGCATATTCGCACGAAGCAATCGTGCATTTCGTTATTCATTTTCCTGTTCCCCTCGTTAGTTTTTTTTGTCCACGTGTTTGTCTTTTTTTTCTTCCTGTAAGTGCCTCGTCGCACATGATATACATAAATACATTAAGAAAAATCCGATTATTTCGTTGTGATAATATGTATGCGAGAGAGAGGGGGGGTGCGGGGCGGAGGTGATCGGGGGATTGTGTATGAAGTGCACGTACTGCTGCACATGCATGCGCATGAGAAAGAGAGGAGGGTGAGTGAGTGGGGGATTGTGGACGAAGTGCGCATGAGAGAGAGAGAGAGAGAGAGAGAGAGAGAGAGAGAGAGAGAGAGAGAGAGAGAGAGAGAGAGAGAGAAGGAAGGGGGGGGGCGGAAGTTATCTGGGGATTGTGTATGAAGTGCGCGTACTGCTGCACATGCATGCGCATGATAAAGAGAGGAGGGGGAGTGAGCGGGGGATTGTGGACGAAATGCGCATGCGCATGAGAGAGAGAGAGAGAGAGAGAGAGAGAGAGAGAGAGAGAGAGAGAGAGAGAGAGACGATGGCACGAGGGGTACGGCAGGCACCAACGCGGAAATTCGGGAAATTCCCGCGCAAACGTGACACGGCAACGGGCAGAGCCCTACGGTACGGCCGGAAAATCCAGTCCTGATTTTTTTGGTTTTTCTTTTGGTCCGACGTTTCCTTTCATCCGTACAACATGATTCCTGCTCGGACCATATCATGTCCGGTTTGTGGGCCCGCACGGTCCCAAGATTTTTCCAAGTCCTTGACAGGCCGACCCTGCCCACCCGCCTTTTGCTACTTGTGGCGACAAGTTCTTTGCTGCAAGGCTGGGGCCGTGTACCATGTCTGAGAGAAATTTGCCCTCGAACACCAGTAAATTTCCCTCCTCCCAAATCACCCAAAAAATCACCCCTCCCCCCTGAACAACACCCAGTCTTCATCCCATACAAAATTGCTGTTACAGATGATGCTGTCCCCGTGAGATTTCCACCACAGCCAGACCCTTCTTGACAGTGGGCAGGAGAGCCACAGGTGTAACGACAGCATCTGTAAAAATGTAAGGGCATATAGTGATGTAAGAAACTCAACGGTGCTAGTGGGAGCTGGCCCCAGGGGCCATGGCAAATCATTGCACAGGGACTCAGCTTTGCGAGAACAAGGTTTCCACCCTCTTTTAATTGGACCTTCAACACGGCACAATCGTGTAAAGACCCAAACTCGGAAAATGTAAGGGGGAAAAAAAAAAAGACAAAAAAATAAAAAAAAAAAAAAATGTAAGGGCATAGTCAGACTCGAACTTCTCCGGATATATCCGACCCACATTATGCCCGGAATCAATTCAAAAAAGTGCATGCATGACCGCGCCTACTGGAATCTATCTGGCCGCAAATAAGGCCAGATTCTGTCCAAAAAGTGCAAGTGTGAACGCGCCCTAATAATGGGATCTACCTGACCGTACTTGCGGCCAGATTCTGTCCGAAAAGTACACAACTGCGAGTACGTCCTAAGGTATCCTGTTTAAGGGCCCGACCCAATTGTGAGTTCAAATGCACCAACCAGCGGCAAGAGCACAACAGAGCAACGAATGAGAGATCTTTAGGACAACAGCCAAAGGTTCCTTTTCTTTCTTTTTCTTTTTTTTTTCCTTTTCTTCAGAAACATCAATTGGCCGGGGGGAGGAGGGGGGGTGGGATGTTCCTACTGTCGTCTTTGCCAGAACATGGCATGCCCCCAGGTTGAATTCTGAGGACCCCAGCCTCCTCCTTTGGATTTTAATACAATTAAAAAGAACAAATTTGGCGTGCAGTAGTAAGGGCAGTTCGTCCACCAGATTAAAAAAAAAAAGTTCGTCCACCAGCCATCTTATTATGTTCACCATGATGAGCGAACTCGCTTTAACATTAAAAAAACAAAAAGGAAACAAATAATGTCTGTCGAGATGGAATGACAGCTGGAAGACCGCTGCAGATCGGTGCGAGCTCCCCAGCACCGCAGATTAGCTTTGCTCTTGCGGTCAGGCCCACGTTCAGGTAGATCTGCCCCCATACACGCTGAGACAGACATGCAGGCGTTGATCATAGTCCCAACGCGCAAACCCAGAGATGTCCTTTGGGACGTCCTCTAGAACTGGAACGATACAGAGAAGATTGGCATGGCCCTTGCGCGAGATGACATCCACACACACAGACACACACACACACACACACACACACACACAAGATTGGCATGGCCCTTGCGCGAGATGACATCCACACACACAGACACACACACACACACAAACTGGGGGCGGGGGGGGGAAAGAGGAAAACAGAAAAAAAAAAAAACATGCACAGACGGATAGACCACTAGATGAAGAATAAACATGTATTCGATCCTTGCCTTGGCGCGCAATGGCTAATCTGCGCTCGAGTGGGGCTTTGCTTCATGATGTGCGATTATCTATCCTCCGATTCCCACGCTTCATGGTCTATGTTCTTTCCATGTATCATATCCTGGCACAAGACTTGGGGTTCATCTTCCAAATGGACGGACTGCAGCATCATGTGCAACAGCATAATGCGGAACCGTCTTCCATCGGCTTGTACCCGCCAACATGTCTTCCCCCCGACAACCCTGTTCCCCCACTTGGCCTGCCGAGCCGATCACTCTCCTGCTCCCCTGCCCAATCTCTCTCTCTCTCTCTCTCTCTCTCTCTCTCTCTCTCTCTCTCTCTCTCTCTCTCTCTCTCCTGGCTTTTTTCACGGCTTCCGTTTTATTTCTTCTTTCCGCTCTTCGGCACAAGTCACTTCCGAGAACAATGACGCCTTACGTTTTTTTCTTTCTTTACGCGACTAATAATTACAGACGATTCATCCTCCATCGCAAATTGAAAAAAAGAAAACATGAACATCCTTAGAACGAGCTGAATCGAATGAAAACATTTCAAAAAAACAGCAGTGCAATTTCCGAGATGCGACGACCCGGTAAGATGCTGGACTGCAGCGGAACCGCCCGAAAACTTTATTCAAAGCTTAAGGTGCAAGTATGTCCTGTCCAATTGAATTAATACTTGACTGCACCTACCAATGATGGTGTAGTTTTCATCAACCGCGTCTTCATCCACTGAGTCTCTGAGTCTTCTTCAACTGAGTCTTCATCAACATCAACCGAGTCTTCATCAACATCAACTGAGTCTTCATCAACATAACTGAGTCTTCATCAACATCAACTGTCTTCATCAACATCAACTGAGTCTTCTTCAACATCAGCTGACGCTTCATCACCTGAGTCTTCATCAGCATCAGCTGCGTCTTCATCAACCAGAATTGCTCATCCACTGTCTTCATCAACTGAGTCTTCATCAACATCAACTGAGTCTTCATCAACATCAACTGAGTCTTCTTCAACATCAGCTGAGGCTTCATCAACTGAGTCTTCATCAGCATCAGCTGCGTCTTCATCAACCAGAATTGCTCATCCACTGTCTTCATCGACTGTCTTCATCAACTGTCTTCATCAACATCAACTGAGTCTTCATCAACATCAACTGAGTCTTCATCAACTGTCTTCATCAACATCAACTAAGTCTTCATCAACATCAACTGTCTTCATCAACTGAGTCTTCATCAACATGAACTGAGTCTTCATCCACATCAACTGAGGCTTCATCAACTGAGGCTTCATCAACTGAGTCTTCATCAACTAAGCCTTCATCAACTAAGCCTTCATCAACCAGTCTTGTTCATTCATTTGGGGCCACTAACTCGTAACAAAAAGATTGTCGAGTCTATTCGAGGATCCATCGAATCTTGCGTAGAGTGCACTTCCGAATCTGGTCTCGATGGTAGACAAAAATTACGCATCTGGTCGCAATCGCAGGCATGCAAGATACTCTGGCGAATCCCCAAGCCCCAAGCCCCAAGCCCAATACGACTGGGTCCAACTGTCTTGGGTGGACCCGGTCGAACGAGGTTGTCGAGTCAATGGCTTCGATTAAAAACAAAGCCGCAGTACCCCTAATAATATTCACCCACGTCAGTCAAAAGAAATTCGCACTGCGCGCCAAAGAATCCAATCTGTCCTCCAACATCAGCCCAGACTTGCACTGCGCGCCGAGCCCATTTCTCCCGTTCCTCAACGTCAGTCAAAAATCGCACTGCGCGCCAAGTCAATTCGTCCTTCGGAACAGTAGAAATAGAGATAATCAAAGGATGAATAAGGAAGCGGACGCGTACGGAGACCGAAAATGCAAATGGTTGTTTGTGAGGAATTCCCGGCCTCATGTTATTTCATGATAATGGACTCCTCGCTTTTCCCAAAAAAAAAAAAAAAAAAGAACGCAAATGGCGGTCGACGAAACTGCTGTAATCCTTTGGGAGAAAATTTTGAAAGGGCCTCGCTCCACTACTCTCGAAACGTGCAAAATGAGACTGAATCCTCCCCAAGAACATGGAAAGATACATTGCTATATTTTTTTGTCGTTTGTGCATGCGGAGAGTAGTGGAGCGAGGCCCAAAGCAACAACAAAGAGAAAAGGAACAACAAAACTGGTTTACTCCTGGGACGGACATCATCTGGCGCCCAAAAAAAAAAAAAAAAAAAAAAAAAAAAATCATCTGGCGAGCTCGCAGCGGAACCGACGACTCATCGCCACGTGTTTTCCTCGAATGGTCAGGAATCTGGTCAGTGCTGCGATTTTTATTTTTTTTATTTTTTTTGGACCATTTCTTGATTTACGCGTGTCATCCTTGCGTAGGGGCCACATGCTAGGCTACCAGCCGGGCCGCCCGGGTCCCGGGTGGCAGCCCGTGCAAGGACCGGGGAAGGTCCCAACAAAAAAACAAAAAACAAAATCCAAAAAATCCGAAAAAAAACTATGTTATGCAGAAAAATAAACTGAACAACTTTTGCCTCAGGGTCACATCGAAATTCTTCACCAAATTTAGAATAAAAATTAAAATTTAAAAACAATTTTTTTATTCTTATTTTTTAATTGTTTTTGGCCCGGCCGGGCAAGTGACCCCGGGCCACTCTGGTAGCCTACAGTAGGCCACATGCTAATTACCCTTCTCTGTATCGTTTCAATTTTAACGGATGTCCCGAAGGACGTACGTGCTGCGAATTTCGGTCCCAAATAAAAAAACACTTTGGCGCGCAATTCGTAATCCTTTTTCTCTCTCCCCAGATCATCAGAATTGTTGTCAGTGCTTTTTTTTTTTTTTTTTTTGGGGGAAATTGTCAGTGCTTTTCCAGTTCGCCAGGCGCAAGTCCTTTCCCGCCCGCGCAATTCAATTCACCTCTTTTTTTTTTTTTTTTCTCTTTTTCTTTGGGTCACCACATTCTATCTTCTTTCTTCACAAGAAAGAAAGGCCAGAGCTCGCTCTCGTCTGAACCGCTGAGATGCCCCCAACCAAGCACAAACACATTTCCCGCGCAAGTCGTACCTCATTCCAGACCGGCAGAAACCCCGGTCAGCGCTACCAATTCCGTTCATACGTGCGCTACTCATTTTAACCATACCTGAAAATCTACACGGGTCGAACAGCGAGGACGGCGACAAACACGAAACTCGTAATCAAATGAATGCACGTTTTCAAAAAAAAAAAAAAAAAAAAAAAACGAAACTACGGGAACGGGGGATGATGACGTTCAGCGAAAGATTCGAAAGCGAAATTTTTCTCGATTTATGCGTGTCATCCTTGATGATTGCTCAAGGGGCATTTGCTAATTAATCTTCTCTCTCTCTCTGTATCGTTCTATTTTTTTTTTCACGGATGCGGCGAAGGACATCCCTTACCAGCGGGCTTGATAAATCGAAAGCGATCCAAGAGCGAGGCAAGGAAAAGAAACGAGAACAGAAAAAGAAGAAGTAGAAGAATAGTGAAAACAGTGGCCAACTGCCGATGTGGCCTTGCCCTCATTTAACACTGTCGAACTTCCCTCGCAGGTCACTTTGCGCTTACCTCTGTTATACTCTCTGATTGGCCCATCATTCCTGCGACGGAAGAAGAAGGGCAGAAGAAAAACCGAAAAAAAAAGCGCGCGCGCGCCCGCCCACAGTAGTGCGGGCTTTCGGCACGTAAACAGCATTCCCCGCATCTGCGTTCGGCATTATACCCACAGCATTCTCGACATCGGCTTTTGGCACGTAAACAGCATTCATTGGCGCCCGCCGGTTGTCTCCACACAGAGAATTGACTTCGCACAGAGGTTCATGATTGAACGAGCAAGATCGAGATCTAGAGATCGAATCGCGTGTGTGCGCGTTCCAACCGGATCAAGACAGAGCTTGATTCACAGATCAAGAGATGGATGGAATCCATCCATCTGACAGAGCGCGATTCAACAGATCAACAGATCGGCGGACAGAACTTTTGAGCAAGAGATATGAATCAAAACCACAGCAACAGCGCCAGTCTTGGAGATCGTTGCGCAGTGTGCAGCAGCGGTCTCCCCGAACACCCTTGGGGCCTCGTCGCACTACTCGCCATCCGCCAACATTTTGATTGCATGTGGACATCCGTTTGTCCAGATGCATTCGAAATCTTGGCGGAGGGGATCAAAACTTCGACTGAATTCGTCTTGGGGACAACGGTGGGGCGGAGAGAGCGAGACAAACAAAGAGGGAGATCTGTTCCGATTCAACAAATTGGCATAAAAACATTTCGATGGAACTTATTTTGGGGGCGCGGGAGAGAGAGAGAGAGAGAGAGAGAGAGAGAGAGAGAGAGAGAGAGAGAGAGAGAGAGAGAGACACGAAGAGGAAGATTTCGTCGGGGGAGGCATAAAAATGGGCACCATTTCGACTGAACTTGTATCGAGTATGCCGCTCTGACTTCGGTTTCCAACGGCCTTCAATTTTTGAGCCCCCGGTGTGCAGTGCATCTGCGGGAGATTCACTAGTACACGTACTCGTGGTTCTTCACAAAGACATTCCTGCACGGTCTACCTTCTCCACACACACAGTTGGTCCGGTATTCAGGGCCTCATTCCCCCACTGGCCAAATGAGAGAGACCATTGGCAACTGTACCTCTGCTGCCTTCTGCTGCCTGCAAGATACATTCATCATCTTTCACATTTTCTGGCAAATGGTAGAACGAGGCCCTCGCCTCGATGGCCAGGCTGCAACCCCCGACAGCGAGAACCACTGGCCAAGCTGAGCCAAACCCCAGTTTCCACACCACATATTGTCACCCAGCTCAGCGTCAGCACGTACATGCATGGCACAGGGACACACTCACGTAGACAAACGCACGCACCAGTTGGGACGGATGCACAGATTTATCGTATGCGGCACAGAGAGAGACACAGAGGGAGAGAGAGAGGACAAAGAGAGGAGCAGCGGATGCACAGATATATCGTATGCGGCACACACA